AGGGGGGGGGGGGGGGGGCTAAGGGGATTTTGAGGGGACATTTATTTATTTATTTATTTTAAGGGTAGCTATGCAGTCTCCACCTGTTTCTTATCTCTGGGGGAATGTCCTTGGGAGACAGGAGGGAGAGCCACAGATGGGACAACCGGCATGTAAAAGAGGTCTCAGCCCACAGAAGGGGGAGGGCGTGGGAAACGTTTCGGAAGGGACCCTCCCTAGTTTTCCAGAGACTAAAAAGAGAGGAGGGGGTGCAATATGTCCAGTCTTGCAAGATTCTGTTAACGCAACCTTCCAATAAAGATAGAGCTAGTGCTCCTGGTTGTGCTTTTGTCTGGACTATCTTGCAAGGCTAACATCATGGTGGGATCCCCTTCTGTCAGGTTTTGGCACTTCCTTTATCATCTCAAAGCTCTCACCAGAGCCACAGTGGCTGTGAGGGCTATGAAGATGGAAGTCCAACCCTTTGCAATGTGCGGGAAAACCTTAAAAACCTCCAGAGACAGAGAACCTACAACTCGCATAACTAGATAGTTCCACTGTTGTACAAAGTTCACCATCAGAAAGTTTTTCCTTACATCTACACGAAACACGGGTAGTTGAAACTTGCACCTGTTGTTTCCAGTCCTACTCTCTGTGACCACGGACAACAGTTCTGACCATCTTTCTCGTGGCCTGCAGAGGTCCTACCCAATGGGTACGACGTTGAACAACCCCTTCTCCTAACCACTCTTCCTTTGCGCTTCCAAGTAGCACTGGCAATCCTTTCAGCAGAGATTTATTCGGAATGTGCATCTGAACTTGAGTTTTTTTTTTAAGGGCGCAGCGTCCTTCTGATATGCACGTTGGTGAAAATGTACTCACCCCTTTGGTATTTTCTGAATTTTTGCATGTTTGACACTGAATCTTACCAGTCCCACTTGTACATAAAGGGAGACTGAACAAGGAAGTGGTGCTTCTTTCGTTTATTTCACATTTAGCGTACAATGCGCTGGGTGAAAAAGGAGCCACCCTCCCAGACTCAGAAACTTTGCGCCACCCTGTGCTGCAATTGCTGCCGTTCTAGTTACTGTGGCCAGTCTCTCATGTGGGACTTTGGCCCGATTCTTCCTGGCAAACGCTTTGACTCAGTCACATTCAAGGGCTTTCGAAGTATGAACTGGAATCATGAATGGGTGCCCCTGTAAGAACAACATGCCCTCTTTCTAGTGGCAGTTTCTCTCAAGACCGTGATTATGATTTAATTGGATGTGCAAAAGAGAGTCAGTTTGGTGTAGGGGTTAAGGCACCAGGCTAGAAACCGGGAGATGGTGAGCTCTGGTCCTGCCTGAGGCATGAAGCCGGCTGGGGGACCCTGGGCCACTCCTCTCTGCCAGTCCTAGGAAGGAGGGAGCAAGGCAACCCCCTAGTGAAAACCTTGCCAAGAAAACCGCAGG